CGGGCAGGGCTGGGGGCTGAGCCCGCTCTGCTCTCCTGCAGGAGTCCAGGATGAACGACTTCTACTGCCTGAACCTGGACACGTGGGAGTGGAACGAAATGTGCGTGCTCAGCGTGATCTGCCTGAAATTCCTGTGTCTGAAGGAATTCACCTTGTCCTTGGGTCACTGCAGTGCCTGCAGAGAGCTGAGGAACAATCAGGGGAGAGAGAGGGGTTTTGGTGTCCCTGATGTGATTGATTTGGGCGTTTCTCTTGCCATGCAGACTCAGCCAAGGCGTCTGCCCCGTGGGCCGCTCGTGGCATTCCTTAACGCCCATCTCCTCGGATCACCTCTTCCTCTTCGGAGGCTTCACCACCAACAAGCAGCCCCTGAGTAAGTCATTCCAGAGGGGTTTGGTGGTGGAGCTGGAATGGTTGCCTTGAATTCCTTCTAAATCCCTCCAGCTCCTCTTTCCACACAGCAGGAGCTGCAGAGGGTGTGCAGACACCAGAACTTCCAGCAATTGATCTGCTGTAAAAATGTATCTAAAAGTGCAAATTGCAATTGCTGACAGCTTTACAATTCTCCCCCTTCACCCCCATAAATCTCTATTACATTAAACACAACAGGAGCCAGTGTTTTATAAGGTTTTTCCTAAAATATTTGATTTATCCAAGGACAGAAATGGGATGTGCTACACCAGAGTATTTCTATTTTGCAGCAGCTTCCAGAACTGATAGAATCCTGATTTTATCTGGGAATTTTGCTTGTTTTCAGGTGATGCCTGGATTTATTGTATCAGCAAGAACGAGTGGGTACAGTTTGAGCACAACTACTCTGAAAAACCAAGGTATGGCAGCCAATTCCCTGGAGCTGGGGGACAGAAGGGCTGTGGAAGCCCTGGGGTGGCTGCCAGGGAGAGGAGCCTGCAGCCTCCTCACAGCTCCCCTTTCCCTGGCCCGGGGCTGCAGGGCTTGGCTGCTCCCAGAACTGCAGGGCAGGCAGCTGGGAAGCAGCAGGGAGCACAGAATNTGCTCCGTGGTTCTGTGGCATTGCCCTCAGTGCTGCTTTCTCAGCTCCTCGTTAGCACACTGATAGATAGCATCGGGGTGGCTGTGGGTCTGTGCCGGCTGCAGCTGGGGGTGCTTCCTGAGGTGCTGCAGGTTCTCTGGCACTCCAGAATCCTGCAGGGATTCCTGGCAGAGCCCTGCCAGTCCCTAACACAGCCTGAACCCAAAACCTGGGGCCGTTCCCAGCTGAGCTGCAGGGGAACAGCGTGGCCACAGGGCAGTGCCCAGGCTGCACCTCCCCACAGCCTCCCATCTGCAGGGGGAGCAGAGCTTGGGAACCGAGCTGGGAGGGTCACTGGGGCAGCAAACAGAGGAGCTGCCCTGGTTTTCTGAGCACAGCATTGATATTTATAGTTATATCTACAATAACAGGATTTCTCCCAGCTCTTGCTCCCTGTTTTCCTGCAGGCTGATATTTTTTGGAGGCTATGGCTATTTTCCCGAAGGGAAGCAACGAGGATCATTTGAATTTGATGAAACTTCTTTTTGGGTAAGTATCCCTGGAAGCCATTTCTTCAATAATTGAATATTCAACTTCTGATTTATATAACATAATTTAATGCACAACTTTTAATATTTCAGCACTGCTTGTAAAAACCTGTTGCTTTTTTATGTGTTTTTTTTTTTTTTTTAAGAATTCAGGTCTTCCTAGAGGGTGGAACGACCACGTTCATGTTCTGGACCTTGAGACTTTCACTTGGAGCCAGCCCATAACCACGGTAATTAATGGCTTGCAGTCATTTAATTAAGTCACAGCTCAGTAATGGTATTTAGGAGTGTTCTTGGTATTTAGGAGTGCTCATTTAGACAGTGCATCTGTCTCAATGAATTTAAACCATTCATTTAGACAGATCCACTCTGCCAAAAGAGGAAATTTGCTTTTTCTTTAGATTGGTCTGCATCCATTTTTTCCTGTCCCGTGCCTTGGTTGGTGCTGCAGCTGCAGGGCAGTGGGGTTTGCTGTCACCCCCAGTGCCAGGGCAGGCTTGGTTCCTGTCCCTGCTCAGGAGATAATTAAACCCTGCTAATTGCAAATACACACACGTGGAGTGTGCAGGAACAGGGAAATGGGCTGGGGTTGCCACAGGGTTGGAGGAAGTGAAATGTGAGAGCTCCAGATTGCCAAAGAATTGCTCTGCTTGCTTCATACAGGTCTGAAGTGGTTCAGAAACTCAAGGGAAGTGGAAATGGTGTTTAATGGAAATCCCAGAATGGCTTGGGTGGGAAGGGACCTTAAATCTCATCCAGTCCCAGCCCTGCCATGGCAGGGACACCTCC